CAAAAAACACTGAAATGGGACTGTACATTTACTGGAATTTGAGAAGAAAGCACTTACATTTAATTCTAAAACCACCCCTAGGCAGTCTGTTGCCATGGAGAATCCCATAGCAAGGCAGACAATGATAACAGTTACCAGAGAGTGTCTCCACAATGTTCTTGGCTGATAGTGGGCAAATACTGAATGTTCTAACACCTGGAATAAATAAATAAATAAATAAATAAATAAATAAATAAATAAATAAATATAATCCCATAGCAAGGCAGACAATGATCACAGTAACCAGAGAGTGTCTCCACAATGTTCTTGGCTGATAGTGGGCAAATACTGAATGTTCTAACACCTGGAATAAATAAATAAATAAATAAACAATAATAACAATTATAATAAATACAAAATAAATAAAATTTTACAGAATAAGTCTGGTGATCTAAAGGGGAGATGGGTGGTCACAATGACAACAAAGATCAATTTGAAAGTGAAACACATATCAAATAGCAAATGGGGGCTATCTCACTGAGATATATTTACACCGATTTGAAAACTAAAAACTTTTCTCATTTTTTGCTTGTAACATTTTTTCAGATATGAAGATTAAGGTGCATGCCTCAGCCGTGGAGGAAGGAAGGGGGCGTGTGGAGGCTGTGACCCTCCCGGATCATGATTTTCCTACGTAGAATAGTATGACACTGGTGATTATAAATCTAGTGTGTCTTAAATATGAAGTTTTTTCCTTTTACGAATTAAAATTCAAACATGAGTGTCAGCTGGTAAATTATACTATGTCTAGTATATAACATTACATCACATAATACATTGGTATATGGACCTTACCTCTCTGGTCACAAAGCACTCCACAGGGTATGTCAACATGATGGTGACTGCAAATGCCAACCTGGCCGCATTGATCAGGTCGTCTTTCTCACAGTAATTTTCTAGGACATCACCTTGAACAAGAAATCATAATCAGGTTGTCATTCTCACAGTAAAAAAAATCAGTTTAAAAATAAACACAAATTAATGATATAAGAAGATTTTTTGTTTCTTTTTTCTAAACTGTGAGTTAAGGTTTACCTTAATCCTCGTATGAGAAAATACAAAAATCATAATATTTCCTTTTTGGAAAATTTAAAATTAAATGGCTAATAAAACATCACAAGCTATCCAGTCATCTTTCTGGTGTCATTAATATGACCACGCTGTCAGGTTTAAACCTCAACACCAATTAAAACAAAAGTCCATGACAGGCTACTTAATTATCTTAAATAAATGGGTTTTTTTAAAGAATGAAATAAACAATTTATCGTAATGATATACATAAGAATACAAACCCTGTGTGAACGAGGTAAAAGTAGCATATCCCACAATGCCCAGTATCACCATGAGAACCATGGAGGTCAGCATGCTGGCGTGGGTCACAATGTGCCACTTGTGCCACGTGGGATCCTCCAGTGAATCGTAGATGAGGAAAGAATTGTGAAGACACATATATGCTAGAAGTAAAGAAATCAACAAAAAAAGAGTTATTGCTATTACTGCTATTGCATATATTCCATATATTCCAGAGAGAACAATCTGATGAATACCTGTCTGTTATTAAATGTTTGTTTTAAAGGTGCACAACTTTTAACTATATTACCTTAATCAGGAAATAATATGAAAGACTTATAAAAAAGTCCCAACTATTTTGGTAACAATTCAAATTTCTGTAATATGATATGGAGAAAAACGGCACATTAATTATAACCCTACTGTGATGATTTAAAATGGTCCCACTACAAGTTCTCTGTGAACTTACCAAAGGCCATGACACCTATAGCTTGAGTGAAATTATAGTTTGCAAACTGCCAGGAATCTTCTGTCATTGGGCTGAGTAGTTGTAATCAAAAAACCTGAGCATGACTTTGGTTATTGTATCTTCTATGATGACATTGTAACTGATCATTGCTGACAACAAACAAAACAAAACAAAAATAATTTTATATAGGATGGAGACAAAATAAATACATTAAAATTATATTACACATTTTTTATTGAGTCTAATATCCTAAGAGAAAGCTACAACACAGTTTAAAAATACTCCATTGATTTTCACGGTATTTATGGAACTTTCCAAAATCTCACATTTAATACACTTTTACTGTTTCTGAAAGGACAGGCCAGTAACAAAGTTGGGTTAATTCTTGGGTGCAAACGAACCACCCTTTTTGCCAGGAAATGCTCTGCTGTGGATAAAAATGGATCAAGGTACATGAAGGTTTCATAGTAAAAGGTCCAGAGAGTCCAGAAATTGTAGGGTTCTTTCAATCAATCCAGAAGACCAGTGTTATATTTCTCACCAATAAAAGGGTACAGGAACTGCATTATGGTCAAAATGAAGAAGCCGGGTCTTCCAAATGCAGATTGCACCAAACCCTGCAGGAACAAAATTGTCATCGTTATATATCTTAATTGGCAAGTACATACCGTAAGTTTGTGGAAAAAGAAAACATACAGACAAAGCCTTACTTGCACCATCAAACAGTTGCATTACTAATTAGGAGTAAAAGAGTGTTTATTGCTTTATTCCACAGTCAGCACTTTGAACAATATGGTTATTGCACTTGTATTTCACTTACAAGCTTACTTGTTTTTAATAAGCTTCAGCGCATTCATCATATTGTTCTAAACACCAGTCATGGGATAAATGGAATAAGTCAGTTACAACTACTCAGATTGTCCCCCCCCCCCCCCACACACTTTATACCACGTTACCCAATCTATACATCACTAACAAGCCCACCTGTTTTTAAAACATTTCATTTGGGGATAAGTCCATTACAACTACTCAGCATCCACTGCACTTTGACATAATTGCACTCTTGTATTGTATGGAACGCCGTTTGTACAAAAAAGATGAAAGTGTCATTTTGACCAGAAAATTTTTTTGCGAGGTGCTAACATCATTTTGAGATCGTTACTTTCATCATTTTGAGAGAAAAGTATTTTTACAAAGTCGTTTTATCATTTAGCATGTCGAGTTTATCGTTCGATATACCGACATGCTTTGCGCGAGATGACGCAATACCAGGGGTCGTCTCATAACAATCGGTGGGAAAAGGAACTAACGCATCCAGGGGTCCGTATATAGCGGGGAAAACAGAATGGGGGGGGGGGAGCAAAGTGATTTCCATGTCGTCGGAAAATGAAAAAACGGCCGTTTTTCATTTGCATTTGATAGAAATGGCCAACATGTAATGGAAAATGAAACTCAATTTTCTTTTTTCCATTTAAATGAAAAATGGAAAAACGCAAACTGCCCTCGTTTTCTATATTTTACCATAAAATGCAAAATACAACATCAACAGATCCCCAATATGATAGAAAATATTAATGTCGACCGTTTTCGTGCTTTCTTATGTTTAAAAGGTGAAATAAATTATAAAATACCCTTTTATCTCTGTCTTTGAGGAAATGACAGGATCAAAAAATGTTAATTATTCAATTTTCGATTCAAATAGTAAAACAGAAGTCGTTTTTCTGATTTTCATTTTATGAATGAAAGTGGAAAAAATGGAGCAAAATGATACTTTCATCTTTTTTGTACAAACGGCGTTCCATAGTATTGTGCATACTGTAGTCAACTGGTGTTGTAACTTCATGTAGTGCTTAAATTACCTGGTGACTGTTTGTGTTTGAGATCTGTCCTCCATGAATAAGCAACATCACTGAATAATCTGTAAAACCAAAAATTCAAGTGTCATATCAAGAGCATTTGCATGAAAATTTCACATCTCGTTTTAATTGAAAAGAAAAAAGCGTGGTAGAAAATGCTGCCAATTGGAGAAACAAAGATGAGTGTCAAAACTAAAAGAATCAGTGTCAGACTTGAAAATGAAGCATTTACCTGTTATTATAGCAACGAGTAAGATCAAAAGGATCCCAAGTCCAACTCCTGCCTGCTTCAACGCATAAGGTATACCTAGAAAATATGTTTTAATTCGGGAAATATTTTTAAATACATTTACTTATGGGATTTTTTTCCCAATTATTTTCCTTTTTTTAATTCCTAGTGTCTTAAACTTTAGGACACTGTATGGTCCCTGGAAATATAATTCTACACATTTTCAAATTATATATATATGATTCTTGAAAACATTTTCCTGTCCATTTAAAATAAAAGTATTCAAAAGAGGAAATACTACTGTTAATCACAAACATACCGGATATTTTTGCTGATGCGTTAAATGTTGAAATGAAAAGTGAATTTTCTTTGTGGAACTCTTTAATCCAACCCTTCTTGTTACCATAACTAAAACAAAGCGAAAACAGAATAATGCAATGTAAATTTATTTCATACCTATGATACCAGATCCAATAATAGAATTGATAAAATTAAATGTGGCCATTGGAAGTGTGCTCCTCTTGACCCTGTCCTCACCAGCGCCATCTTGTGCATCAATTAGCTGGTAGGTATCACTAGTCACCTATGTAGGGGTGTTTGCCTTGGTAAATAAATTGAAAGAGAGGCATTTACTATCAACCCCCCTTTATGTCAAACGAATAAAGCATTTTATTTTGACTCAAGTAACAAAATCAAGGTTGCACTATACCAGATGACGCAGACCGACACAATTAAGATACTAGTAGCAAATTAAAATGCATGTAAGGGTCCATAAATGAATTTTCAGTTTTATTTTTCCACTCAATTAAATATTTAAAAGTTGAGATGCTCAGATGTTCACAATATTATATGCCATAAATGTATTTTGTTTTGTTGTAGCTGAGGAAATCTACTGTCTTCAGGACATATACTGAGGTATACAGATTACAAGTCAAGTTTTGCTGACAGCTTGTATATGTTTAATTTTACCTGCATCTTAAAGCTGAGTACACTTTCGCATCTATGTCTTCAGATTACAGTGACCCACAGTGAGGCCAATACTGTGTAACTACATGTATATGTTAATTAAGATCTACATGTATTAGGAGGATTATTGAGATTTGACAGAAAAAAATGAGAGTGATGTGAGACAGAGAATAAAGGTAGGAGAAATGCATCAGACTGCTCGTTGTTATACATTACTTCTCCCATGCCTCAGTGACAAGGGGTATTTTAGAGAGAACCTGGGTAGGATCTAAAATCCCACACTTTGTCATTTAAATATACTGAAACATGAACATCTAATTTAATCAGAAGTCACAGCTAATTGGTATTAGGGTAAATGAATAACACAGTTTTGTCCGATATTCAATAATCAACTCAACAAGTGGCCAAGATGTCAAAAACAACACAAGTCTGCCTTTTGATTATGTGGTAATTGCTCCATTCACTCAAATAAGAGAAATTTATGTTTCAAAGTAAATATGTTTTATTCACTGAAGCCATAAACGTGGTTATTCATTACTTGATCATTTTAAAAATGATAGCGCCCTTTAAAATTTGATAACAATTCTTTCTCATGAGTAAAATACATTAGCAGATTTAAGTAATAACATTTTATTTATTATGGTAGGACATCCTAACAATCTTAACCAGCCATTGACACTAAATGATTCAATACTGGAAGTTATAAAGTGCAAATTTGCCAAGTCAGCTGAGCTAGAACATATTTATCTTTGGTGATAAAGATGATACAGGATGCCTCTACCAGCTTGTCATATACGACAACCTACTACCTTCGCCACATCTCAAGCTGTACTTTTGCATGGGTTGTAAACAAAAAGTGACAGCAGAGAGTCATTGGTTTTCCCTACATTTATGACGTTATTCTACGAGGAATCTTTTCTGGGCTGAAAAATACAGTTACAAGGTAACAGCTACTCTTATCTTACCTAAATTTAATGGTGTCTATCTGCACGTAAACCGTTTGCATAACGATGGCGTCAGCAAACGGATTAGTCAGCCTTATGGAAATTAAAAAATATCCTGTTTTTGCAATCCAACAGACTGCCTTTTAATACATAAATGTCAACCCAAGCTTGCTGTTAATGTAGGCTGAGAGTGTTTTCGGGAACAGTTATTGAATTATCAGGATATCCACGCACACAGTTAATTTATGCAGCAATATTTTTCTACAGTCCGCCCCCCCCCCCCCCACCCCAGAAAGCTACCACACAGTAATGTGAGCACAAATGTTGGCCCTGATGTTCACCTCATACAGAAGCCATTATCACCTTATACTGCATTTTGAACCAGGCTGAGCTGGATTTTGTTTACTTTTATTGATAAAGATGAGGTTAGAAATGTGTCCTTAACCTTATTGGCTCTTCGTAGAATTAACCCACTCCCCTCCTTTGTATACATTCTGTTCGACTCAAATTGCTCTAAATGGGCTTTGATTTTATTTACCCTTCCATCCACATTGTCACCATGTCACCAAATAAAATGAAAGGACATAATTTGTTTTGCCCATATATACCACAGTAGCAGATGTAATTCTTCAAGGAATCTTTATTGCATTCTGGGTTGGAAAATCCAGTCACAAGGTAACAGCTAGGTCACTTATCTTATTTTATGATTTAATTTTGGAAACGTCATAGCGCCATTCTGCGCGTAGATCATTTCGACATTAATGACATTAACTTGCACGAAGATCAGTAGGTTATTGATAGCTGAGATTTGCTCACCTGAGGAATTAAACATTTTGTTGTTCTCCCAAGTGCATAAATAATGGAAACAAGCAAGATGTGGTAAAGCGAAGGAACCTAACTAAGGAAAAGAAAAATAATAAATTAGGTGATTAATCCCCTATCTTCCACTTTATGTGGTGACATTTTTCAAAGACAATGGAGTTTTGAAGACATAAGCTGCTGTAAATGTCACAAATTCCACCTACAGATATCCGCACTCATCTGATAATCACTACTACAACCAAGCGTCAAGGTAAGTAAATAAAATAGGCCAAATTGTCCTGTAGCTTACCTTACTGCGTTGGTAGCTCGATCTTTCCAATGGGGCAAATATCAGATGCATGTGCATAATCTGGATATAATGAAATATATGTATATTTATGTATAGCATTTGTGATTTAAATAAATAAACTTTATTTTTTGAAAGTAAGCAATGAATAGACTATAATGGAATGACGGACGACATAAGCAGGATAACATGACTCCCTCCCTAATGTTAATAACAATAGAATGGGGATGAATATTAGGAAAAAATAACATAATATGAAATAATATTTCAAGACAAGAGTTTTATATAATTGCATATAATTTCTGTAACGATGAAACAGTGGGGTAATGGGGTACCGCTCCACTATGTAGTATAATGAAAGAGAGGGGCATTTATAAAAAGTCATATAACATGAAAGATGTACGCAATGAAGCTTTGATTTGGCTCGTCATTTTAAAATAAGTATTGCTGCAGATAACAAAATGTCTCTGAATGCAGACTGGATAACATTGACCCTGACACAATGTTTCCATGTATTGTCCCATGTACTATAAGTAAATAAACAAAGGTGATATAATAAGTCTCACCTAATCTTTGTTGCAACATCCGTCTTCTAATACTATGATTGCATCATAAAGATATGATATATGTTAACCATGATACTGTTTAATTTTTGACAATCTAGCTAAATCCTATATTTCTTACACACAATAAAATTTTTAATTCATTTAATGGCGTCACTTTATCCTTCAAATAAGTTCATACGGTTTTAGAGGTTTTAGATGATTTCCCCTATAGGCCTATATTTTTATGATTAATGTCACCAAAACTTATGGGACGCTGCCTATAACACTTTTGCAAACATGACCAAATGATGCTGATTTTTTAGGGACGCTGTCTTTTAGGTAAACGAAGTCATTTAGCAAAATTAAAGTTAAATATATTCGATTCATACAGGGATATGAAGGAAATACCACCATATAAAATGTTATGGAAAATCCACAAAAATGAAATATTTTGTGAAAATAACGTGATCATGTTGCTTTCCAAAGAAACCCGTCAGGCCCCCGTTTCACAAAAAAACTTAAGTCGGTTTCCCTGACTTAGGGCTTGGTTACCAACGTAATTAAGTCGTTACGTCACTAAGTCCCGTTTCACAAAGAATCTAAAAGGTCGCTTACGTCGTTTTTTTCTTAGCTGTAAGTCGACGATGTCAAGCCTCCTCGGGAGGAGACTTAAGTCAGCAAGCTCAACTAAAACTCGGTAAATGAGAGCATAAACAACAAAAAATTGGAAAGAACATACCTCCTTCAAGATATTGTGTTATAATATCCTTGAATAGCACTGACATTTATGGAATATTAAAATAAAAAAATAAAATTCCACTTTACCCAGCCGATCGCGTGTTTGTTTATGTTTTTGACCGCTAGACGTCCCTCAGTAATGTTCCACGACAAGCTAATGTTTAACTGTTACTTTGAAGTTGTATTGACGTTAAACTAATCAATAAAGTTCAAAAACAAACTTTGTTTGTGTTTTGGCTGACTTTTATTGTTGATAAACGATCGTTCTCGGCCGAAAGAGGCCATGAAACGTCATGTCTTGTGAAACTTTTGAAATTTTACACCTCCTTTTCTTGGAGAGTTTCTCGTGCGCGTCGACTACGATAAGCGCGCCAAGCTAAGACGTTAGATTCTTTGTGAAACACTCCTAGTCGACTTCAGCTAAGTCGACCTAGCTAGACCACCCAGCTCGAGCTAGTCGACTACGGATTTAAGATTCTTTGTGAAACGGGGGCCAGAGCATTTCCAAAAATTAAAACATAGGCCTAATTGAATTATAGTTTGTTGTAGCTGTAGTGGTAGTTATGTAGAAGTGTCGCACAGCTGTGATAATAACACAAACTACACCACAGTTAGACGGTGGTCAGAATATATGAAGACGAAAAGATATTCCGTTTTATTATTTAGAAAATTAATACATCATACAGGGGTCGGAATTTTAACACGCAGGCTGCAAGTAACCCCATTTTTTTCAAATCTTTAGTAATATTCATTTAAATAATGCAGACAGACATTGAATTTCTATTTTCAAAACTAAGAAAGTGAGACCATAGCTTGATGACCAAATTTTAGAATTTCTAGTTTTTTTAACCCAACAGATTGCTTTTAATATGTTAGGTAGGCTGAAAACATTTGCTGAAGGCTTACAATGCACATGAGAATAATTTATTTGTGCTACCTGTTGTACTTATCTAGACACTGGCTGAATAGAAAATTAAAAAAAAATTTTTTGAAAGATTAGGATAAAAAAATACTTCATATAGACCCTCCAAAAATCCTATCAGACATGAACTATGGCCATGTCATGTGAGCATGCATGTTTTCTCTGTGATTCATTTATCACACAAGTGCTATCCGATTACATCGTATTTACACTAATTGTGTGCTGATGAAGCTAGAATATGTCTATCTTTGCTGATAAAAGTGATGATACAATATGCTCTGAACCTAACCAGTTCGTCATATAATTTACCCACTACCATCAAACTTCCCCTGTTCTTTTGGGTGGGTTTTGTCTTCATTC